TTACCACAACATGAGGAACTGCAAGGGTTGCAGCATTAGGAAGGTTGAGAACCACTGCTTTAGAGGATAAACTTAATTTAATTCACATCACATGGGGTAACAAATCTACTAAACCAGGTACCTTTTCCACCTCTCCAATCATCCCACACAATAATCGGCGACTAGATTTATTCAAGGCCTTCTTATCCTTAGTACTAGTAAGGCGTTATCGTCATTTATTAAAGCGTTGAAAAGGAGTTACAAATGTGTATGTACACAAATACTTTATAAATAACTATAAATATATATCACAAAACACACACACATAAACGTTTTACAAATGCTTTTGTTTTTCTTTTTCTACTTGTTTTCTTTTTCATAGGGAAGTCGTGGGTAACCTGAGACTGGAATGATCACCTCTTTTAGAGAAGGATCACATAGCACAGTAGGTTAAGTGCTCAGCTGCTAACTAACAGGTCGCTGGTTTGAACCCACCAGCTGCTCCACCAGAGAACAGTGTGGCAGTGTGCTGATATAAAGATGACTGCCTGCCTGGAAACCCTACCGAACAGTCCCACTCTGCACACGTGGGGTTGCCATTCAGTCAGAATCTACTTGACAACGAATGTCAAAGGCAGATTACGAAATGTAAAGGGGTGGGGGTAGTGGACAGGTGGTCCAAGGGGTAGTGGCAGGTATGACCTCTGCTCAGGGGAAATAGGCCTTGGCTGGTGAGGAATTGTTGGGTTCTCCTTCTGCCTTGTGCAGACAGAGGAGGTCAGATATGGTTTACACGTCTTCAAATATCAAGACTAAGAAAAATGGTTTTAAACATATAGGAGCGCATGAGAATTCTGTGCCTATGACCCCTTCTTAAAGAATCTATTAAAAGATGAACTTCATCAAACCAAGAGATAACTGGAAATAAATTTCAGCAAAAAAGACTTGTATATATAAGACTGAGATAAAAACGAGTGGAAACAAAATACATTATATGATATGTGCTGTATGTTATACCTTGCATATTCCTACAAAGTGGGAATAAACAGAAAATAATATAATGGACTTGATAATTTTTATCACTAAATACGACCAGAAAGCATAACAATAAAAATATGTGAAAATACATACATGGAGAACAGACACAATGTAAAAGTCAGAGCAATGAGATTAGTTAAAATCAAAAGGTATTTAAATTAAATTAAACTCAAAATAATTAAAACCAAAAGGCATTCCCCATAACTAGACAGAAACTCTTTGATGTTAAAAGCCTCAATCCACAATATGGATATTATAGATATGTATATGCCAAATAACATAGCACCTACCCTTACAAAACTTAAAACTACAGGAGATGTAGCAAGACATAGATGGAAACAGGCTAACACAATGGGACTTCAAAACCTTGTAGAAAAATGGAATTAAAAAGTCACAGAACTTGTCCAGAAATTTTTGAAGGCTCCTTGGATAAGGAGATAATAACAAGCGCTGGGGCAGTGAATTATAAAAGGTAATTCTTCTAGCCAACATCTCTGTAACTCCCACCAGATTACCTTTTCCTGCATGGGTCTGACTAAGACAGTGGTTCTCAACCTTCCTAATGCCTGACCCTTTCCTACAGTTCCTCATGTTGTGGTGACCCCCAACCATAAAATTATTTTCATTGCCACTTCATAACTGTAATTTTGCTACTGTTATGGACTGGGCGACCCCTGTGTCTCAACCCACAGAGCGAGGACCACTGGACTAACGGGGGGAGGGGGAAGGCACCGACAGGATTCACAGGATCCATGTGGTGATCGCCATGCTGGGTATAAAACAAGCCCTCTGAGAAGCAGGTTGGAATTTCACTATCAGCAAGAGTCATGAATTATAAAAATAGAGAGTATTGTGTTGGATAGAACAACGTGACACAGACTTAGTAAACCAAAATAATTTTATAAAATATAGATGATTTAAACAACATAATCAATTAGACCTTATGATTACAGAAAGAGCCCTTGTGGTACAATGGATTTGATGCCACTTTTGTTTATGGTTATATATTGATCGTATATCCTGATAAGAGAGAATATAAGCTCTCCTCAATTGCACATGGGGCATTCACAAAAATTCATCATTGATTAGGTTCCCTAGTCAAAATCCAGAGACAGACAAGGCTTTCTACTCCCATACAGAGTAACAGTTTCAGAAACTCAGAGGGGGAAGTTATACTCTGTCCTACAGGGTTGTTATGAGTCAGAATCGACTTGATGGTAGTGAATAAGTGTCCCAAAACACCAGTAAATTCTGTGAAACAGAAAGCCTCCAAATATAACTTTCTGATTACATGCAATAACTGGGAGGTACTGGCATCTAGGAGGTAATCAAACATGTAAAGACACAGTGGACAATAGGCCCAGAAGTTGTAACTCCGGCAAGGGAGTCAAAGGGAATGACCCCTGGGGCTGGAGGTATGGATTGACATACACATGCCACCCCCTCCAACAAACCCACGGCCACCAAATCCATTCTGACGCACGGAGCAGGACTGCTCCACAAGGCTGCCAGGGCCGCCAGTCTGTCCAGAAGCCGGACTGCCCCACCCTTCTCCCAGGGAGTGGGAGAACCCCCGAGTTCCAGCACCAACCTTCTGGCTAGCAGCTGAGTGCTTCACCCACTGTGCCACCAGCGTGCTTCACACACATAAAATATACGCACAAATGCCAGCTGCTTTTTCATCTATAACAAACTTATTAGCCTCAAGAGTCATATAACCATATCTAAGAAGAAAATTTCCAAATTTGAAAAAATAAAATTAAAAGATAGTAGTCTATGCAACCTTTACCGTGGAAAAATGTTACTACAAGAACAGACAGGCTTTTTAACAAGATTCAGGAAAAAACTTTCAAACAGCTTCTTGGCTAATATTTAAATAGCAAAGAATTTACTCATATATGTGACTGGATCATGAAAACAGGAAAAATGTAACATTAATCCTAGTGGCAAATATTTAAATGTGCCCAGCTCACATTATTTTAATATTAGTACGATAAGCATATTACCTTTCATAACATATGAAAATGTTGCTTGGTATTTCATCATGAAACCTACCTTACAGTGAAGTCATAGGAGCAAGAGGCCAGCACAGAGGCATGGAATGGGGAAAACTACAAAAAAAGGGGGGGGCGCTTTCTGAGGTTAGTTGTAATGACAACATGCCACTTCATATGATCAAGGCTATTACATTATAGAAACTTAAATTACGCTTTCTTTATATCATTCTGCTCATTAAATATCCATCTTTATGGATATTTATGTTGACATTTATGTTGACATTCTCCCCAAAAAAGCATCACTAAAACCCAGAACAAAAAATCATATCAATGTGAATGAGGGGGAGGTGTGGAGTGGAGACCCAAAACCCATCTGTAGACAATTGGACATCCCCTTTCAGAAGGGTCACAGAGATAAGCCAGTCAGGATGCAATACA